CTTATTTGTCAGATGTACAAAATGGACATCTCATTTATTAAACATCAGTGCTTTTAAGTATTAAGGTCTACACACTAAGTAAATGCTTTTTTTTTTTTTTTTTTTTTTTTTTTAATTTAGTACAGGGTCTACAGGGCCTCGCTATTTAGATCAGACTCATAGTGACTCTCTTCTTTTCGGCCTCCCAAGTGCTGGGATTACAGGTGCATACCACCATGCCCAGTTTCAATCACCATCTCAGGGCGCCCTGGGGGCGGGACCAGCACAGCGCGCTGGGGATCGAAACCTAGCCACTGCACTCTGCCTTGGCAGGCGCTTTAGTCTGCTGAGCTATCTGGCCAGCCCAAGAACTCCTCTTCTTAAAGACTGTACTCACTATCAATTTCTATATGGTACTATTCTTTTTAAATTGTTTTATGATTCAATCAATATACAGCAACATAAGCATTTCTTACTAAAATTTCTCATCTTGTATCCCATAATTCTGTGGTATTTTGGCACACTGAAATCCATCCTGAGGGCCAGGAAGATGGCTCAGTAGAATAAGCGCTTGCCTGGCAAGCACAAGGGCCTGAGTTCAATCCCTGGTTCCACGAGAAAAAAAAAAAAAGAAATCCATCCTGAAGCAGGTGGCACTGGAAGATTACACACCTGTAATCTCAGTACTTGGCAGGCTGAGACATAAGGATCACCATTAAAGGCCAGCCTGAGCTACATAATGAAACCCTGTCTCAAACAACAACAACAACAACAACAATTTCCATTTTGCATGCCCTAATATATAAGAGCTTGGCACAAATGATACTGGTGACTGAACAGTAACAATATTGGGTATTTTCTTATCCTACTGTACACATAATTATTTTCAAACTACTTAGATTTACTGGCTTCTTTAGGCAAATACAACTTTTATTCAATAAAAGCTCCAGAATTTTAACAGCTGACAAGAACAGCAACGCAGAAAAATGATACACTCAAATCAAAGCTTTCATCATTGCTGTTTTATGTGACCAATATACTCATTTGAATTTTCTATCAAATGCACTGGGCTAAATAAGGGGAGAAAGAAAAAAAAAAAAAAAAAACTTCACTAGGAATACCCTGAAATCAACTTTTAGAAGTCTTTATCATACCTCATTCCAAATCTGACCATGTGATTTGACAATTCAACTGAAATCCTTTTTTTTCCTACAAATTTTTCCAAATCTTCAAATAAGCTTTGAAAAGTTGCTTTATTGAGCTTATCAAATTAGGGCAGTTTTTGAAAGCAACGTGCTATGGCTGAAGGGGCAGAAATAAGAAAATAATACAATGGAGAATTCTAGTATTTTTGACCCGTGTTTTCACTTTGGTGATCCTGAAGACACTCACCATAGTTTTGGTCTACAGGGGTCGTAAGTATAGATCACCAATTCAAAAGTTTGGTTATAGGACCAGGGAGATGGCTCAGTAGAATAAGCGCTTGCCTGGCAAGCGCAGGGTCCTGAGTTCAAATCCTGGAACCTCAAAAACAAAAGTTCAGTTATTGCTTGGTTGTTGCAATTAAATGATTTCCTATGAAAACCACCAATATTAGCTTTTATTTATTTTTTTAAATTTTATTTATTTATGTATATGTGTGTGTGTGTGTGGCCAGATCAGCCCACCTGGGGGCGGGGCTGGCTGGCATGTGGTGCTGGGGGATTGAACCGCGGTCCCTGTACTTTGCTAAGCTTGTTCTAAGTAGGTGCTTTAGACCACTGAGCCATCTCACCAGCCCAATATTAGCTTTTAAACTTTTATCTTTCACTACCAAGCAGCCTACGCATGTTTAAATTATCATAGCCTTTTTACAAGGGAACTATTTAAGATTTCTCCCACCATGTTATAAGGAGTATTGTAAAAAGGAATATTTGCCATACTCAGTACCAAACCTGTGTTAGGGTTTTGTTTTCTAAAAACAAAAAGCCATTAAGAATGGTACACAGGCATATGAAAAGACTTACTATGAAATGGGCACAAACTGTTATGGTGGTTGAGAAGTATCACAACCATAAATCTACAAGCTGACAGCCTGGGATGCACTAGTATGGCTTAGTACAAAAGCCAGAAGGCACCAAAAGCAGGAAGCCAATGATATAACTTGCAATCTGAACAGAAAGCCTGAGGCAGGGAGCACTGGTGTGAAGTCCAGGAGTCCAAAGGCCAGGAGTTCTGAGTGCAAATCCTGCTACGTACTTCTTAACCTAACGAAGCTGACATATCAAACTAAAAGTCACAGCATAAAATCCAGGGCCTCATGAATGCGTGGAAAAGGCTCTACACTGAGGCAGATCCCCTGCTTATTTCCTCATCTCTGATGGCATCTCCAACTTCTTGATAAACACTCCAAGTACTTAGGCCAAAAATGTTGAATTTATGCCTGAGTCTTCTCTTTCACTCACAAAGACATCAAAGCAAATCCTCTTTAAACATTCAAAATATTTCCAAAATTTGAGTACTTCTTACCACCTCCACTACTACTACTACCACTTCAATTTGAGTTAACATCATCTCTCATGTAATTTAATGCAATAGTCTCTCATTTCCTACTTCTAGTCTTGTTTCTGGGCAGTCTACTGTCCACACAGCAGCCTGGGGACTCTTGAAACTAAGAAGATATTATGCCTGTACTTTAAAACTTTTAGATGAGCACCCCCGCCCCTTTTAGTAAAAATAAGTCAAAGAACTTACAATTAGAAAGTCCTACACACATCCTACTCTACATCACCATTACGTCCTCTCTGACTTAATTTCTTACTACTCTCACCCTAGTTCACTCCTCTCTGGCCACTCAGAACTCCTTGCCATCCTGGATATCAAGACATGCTCTCATCACAGGATCTCTGCAGTGACTATTCCCTCTACTTGCAGTTTTTCTCATCTAACCCTATAGCAATTCTATCAGGTGCATACATTAGTCAAAAGTCAACTCAAGGGGCTGGTGAGATGGCTCAGTGGTCTAAAGCACCTACTCAGAACAAGCTAAGCTAAGCAAAACACAGGGACCGCGGTTCAATCCCCAGCACCACATGCCAGCCAGCCCCGCCCCCTGGCGGACTGAACTGGCCACACACACACACAAAATAAATAAATTAAAAAAAAAAAAAGTCAACTCAACTAGGACAATACAAACTACCTTTTTAAACTGAAATCCAGGTTTTGCTCTTTGTTTCCAATTCCTTTTATCCCGTTTTTCCCCATTGCAATGACTAGACAGCACATTATGTAACTTGTTTACTATATTTATTATTTGCTTTTCCCTGCCTTGCTCCATTAGAATGTAAAAACTACCAGTGCTGTACTGTTTTACTTACTGATACTTCCCTACTGCACAGAACAGGACCTTGAACAGGTAGGCACTCAATAAATAATTACTGAATTAATATAGGTATAATAGACCTTTAATAGTCCACTAAAAACATAAGGACTTTTGAAAACAGAAACAAACTTGTAAAAATTTCATCAAATTACATATCAAAATAACTCATCACTAGGATGCTGGTTATCATTTCCTTATTCATAGGTCTATACCCTGAACAATTCTATACTCATTCAAAAATCACTGACAATGAATCAAGCAATTAAAATATTATACTGCTACATGTCAGTGCTCTATTCTTCAAGCTGTAGGCAGTTTAGCAATCCTTTGAAAATGCTGCTCTTCCAGTAAAACAAGATAAAGTACTTAACACATTACTTTACCACACACTGGCAAACATAAAACTTCATGAACAGTTTAGAAATTTTCTAAGCTCAAAAATATGCAACTTGAAAACAGGTAAGTCTGCTATTAAAAAGCAGGATTTTCCCATTAAAATATGAATTTATCAAAAGTAACAAGCCTGTAATTCCAGCACTCAGGAAGCTGTGACAGGAAGATATCTGTGAATTTGAGGCCAGCCTGGACTACATAGTGAATTCAAGGCCCGCCAGAATTGCACAGTTAAACCTCTACTCAAAAAGATCAAATAGGGGCTGGTGAGATGGCTCAGTGGTCTAAAGCACCTACTTAGAACAAGCTTAGCAAAGCACAGGGACCGCGGTTCAATCCCCCAGCCCCACACACACACACACAAATAAATAAAAATTAAAAAAAAAAACACGCTATCATCTAAGTCAAAAGTCAGTTAGCAAGAATTAAAGATTTAAATTATTGTCACTATAAACAAGAAAATCCAGTCACGTTGTTGGGTTTTGTTTTGGTTTAGCAGTTATCATTGATTAGATGAAATTCTCCCAGTCGAGGAAAATCTTTAAAAAAACAAAACAAACAAACAAACCCCCCCAAACCGGAAGTACTCACAAACACCAGGCTACCAGATTTTTGTTATTTACCTAACAAATAACCCTTGGGTCAAATGAAAACTTTTCCAGCTGATGCATTACCGCTGAGCTAAAAGAAATTTCCTACCCAAGCAAAAAATACTGTAAAAATGTCCCACAGAATGAAAAAGTACCTACAGAAGTGATCTTTAAACATGCCTCAGCCACCACAAAATTTACTATTTGATTGGATGCAAATTTCTAAACGGACTTCGAAAAGCAACTTTGGTTGGGGAACTGCACGTTATTTCCGGGACGCAGAACTCAGCGTAAAGTCATCTCCCGGCTGGGTTGCTGTTACAGTTCGCTTACAATTTTTATCTCGTTCGTCAGTCTACCTGAAATGTACGGCAAATTCACTCCGCAACCCACATTTACCCAACTCGGAAAATACTACTTAGAAATGGTGCTTTCCTGCGGAAGAAGGCACAAGGAAGTCCCCGGCAAGGTCGGCCGGCCGCGCGGGGAAGGCTGCACCGCCCGCAGGAAAGGCGGCCACCGTGCGGCCCGCGACGAGGGCTGGGGTCAGGGCCGGGCGACGCGGGGAGGACGCGCGGCGGCAGGTGCCGGCGCTGACAGGACCTGCCGCGGGGCTCGGACCGGCCCGAAGGCGCTGTCGGTTGGCGGCGGGCGCGCGCCCGGCTCGCCGGCCTTACCTCGGGCGTCCGCTCCAGCGGCTTCTTCCGCAGCGCTTGCCGGGCGCCGGGGTCCACGGGTGAGTTCATGGCCGCAGCCGCACGCCGGCCAGCTTGCCCCTAGCAGTCCACACGACGGCCCATGCTACCGACGCAGGGGGTGTGCCCTCCTCACGCCGAGGGGACCGCGGACAGCCACAGGGTCCGGACTCAAACAAACAACGCTTCGCAACGCCCGCCCAGGGCCTCAGCCCACGCGCGACTGGCCAGAAAGAAGCCCGCGCGGGGGTGGGAGGGCGAGCGCGCACGCGCGACACGCATGCGCACGCCGGCGAGCGCGTGGGGCTGACGTAAGAGCTGGGGCGGGGCGGGCTGGCCTCTTCCAGACCTCCGAGAGATGGAGACCCTCGGCCGCGGCCCCGGGCTGCGGCCTCTAGTTTCGGGTGCACTGGCTGGAGGACGGCCTGAGAAGCCGAGCCCGAAGAGAAAGAGCTTGTTGAGACGCAACTGCAGGGAAGGCGTTCTGGGTGGATGGACCTGGACCCAAACCCGGAAGTGGGGCGAGCGCTTCCCCCGCCGCCCGGGCGCCCCGCTCCCCGAGAACGCGCGGAAGTCGAGGCCGCCATTCGGCGAACGCGGAAGTCCACGCTGCCCTTCCCTCCGACTTTCGGTAAAACGAAATGTCTTGTGAAAGCCACCCGCAAGAACGCGCCTCTTCTGTGCGAGCAGACGTCTAGGGAGCAGCGCGGAGGAAGCGGAGCTGGCGGCGGCGCCCGCTCGCCGGAGCCCGGAGCGGCCCAGCGCCCTGAGCTCGGGGCTCGGCCTGGCGCAACTCCGAGTGGAGCTTTCGCACGTTCATGTTGTGCTCGGTTTCCTAATACACCGGACAGTGCTAATTTCGGTTTATTGATCGTAAGAAAAACATCATCGTTTGGGGCAGTAAGCTGCAAAGGCAGTTTTAACAGTAGTTTACTGACAAGAGACTCTGTCCTTTTGGATCAGCCCTTTACGCCGGTTCTCCTTAAGCACGTAGGAACCACCGTAATCCCATGCCCTCCTCAGTTGGGCACCACGCTGGGCCCATCCCTGCCGCAGAATTTTAAAGCTACTGGGAGAGCGATCCCATGTAGGTACATCTGAGTATCACGGCATAGCTCGCTGTCTTGGTGATTTATAAATATCATGGGCTTTTCGAGTAAGGACTGATTCACGGTGACTGTAATGACATGGTAGGAACTGAAGTGCTTTTGAGTAATAAAAGGAAAAGGAGAGTTAGGGCTACAATTTACAGTAATGATACCTTGATGTCAATAAGCGCTGTATTTTCCGTTGGTCATGGGGCTTGCCTGAACTTGAAGTTTGCAACATACTATTAGCACATCTGTTTTTTCGAGTTTTGGGCAAAAACCTTTCAGGTTCAGCCATTACAGAAATAAAGTAATGATGGGAAAATCACTAGGCTTTGCAGGCAACCTGTTTTCCTCGTTGGGGTGTGTGTGTGTGTGTGTGTCCGCACGCATGCGTGTGTACGCATATATAAACATCCTCTCAAAGTTATGCCCAGTATCACAAAAGTTACCCGTCCATTCTTAAAGGTTTAATTTTATGTCATAGTGGTATCTTGAAGGAAAACGAAACCATGATTGTTATGAACTTGGACGTATAGGAGGAATTAGACCTGAATTTGTCTTTTACACAGTATTTTTTTTCTTTTCTTTTTTCTTTCTTTCTTTCTTTTTTTTTTTTTTTTTTTGGCGGGACTGGGGATTAACTCAGGCCCTTGCGCTTGCCAGGCAAGTGCTTATTCTACTGAGCCATCTCCCCGGCCCCTAGACTCTTTCTTGTTAGGTAAATCGTTGCATTTTTTGGCTGAATCAAACCCAGGGCTCTCTGAATATGAGCAAGCACTCCACTATGAAAGTTCACTCACCCCAGCTTAAAGTTAAATAGTATCTGAATTTCAGTTTCCTCATCTGTAAAACGGGAAGAGTAAAGAGATGCAGGATTACATACTTCACATCTGGCTCTGGCACTTGGTATGTTGTCTGCACAATCTAAGCACTTTCGTTACTGAAGGGTGTTATTTTTCTAAAACAATCAAATTTGAATGATAAGAATTTTCCTTTCGTTTATATTCAGAAGCATTTAAATACTGAAGACAGAACAAGAAAAATTCTCACAAATGCTGTGTAAGGGTAAACTGGGTAACAATTCAGAAAAAACCCTGAAACTTAACCTACACCATGACATCAAGTCCATTTAATATACCTTATGTCCTAAAGAATGCCTATATACACCAAAAAATGATAAAAATGTTCATTGTTCATAGTAGCCACCCATCAAAATGGATAAAAAGGGGCCAGGGAATGGCTCAGTAGAATAAGTGCCTGCCTGGCAAGCATAAGAGCCTGAGTTCAATCCCTGGTTCCACCAAAAAAACAAACGGATAAGAAAATGGAATATGTGCTACACAGCACATGGATGAATCCAACACAAAGTTGAGAACAAAAATCCAAGACAAAATAGAGGGTGTGAATCCACTCAGAGTTCAGTTTTAACAGCATCAGCAGCAACACATAGAGGCAAAAGTTTAAAGCAGCAAGCGAATGTTCACACCATGAGCACATGGAGAAGTGGCTTCTGTACTGCTTGGCCTGAGTGAGTTACACAAGTGTTTAGTAAGTCAATTTTTGTGTATTTCATAAGAAAATGAATCAGTATACAAAAATACATATAAGAAAGCAGAAAACTAGTTCATATCCAGTGACTATCTGATGTGTATTATGTCATCCGAAGGTCTGTGTTTATTTTAGCTCAGTCTGTAGAGCTTTCCGTCCAAGGTCCAGAGTCTGCAAGGCAGGGCAGCATGGAAGAGGGGACCCAGAGGAGAAACTGTGGCAGGGTAGGCAGGATGCAGCAAGCAGCAGCAGCTTGCTTTCTGTCTTTCCTTTATATTCCATCCAGGCTTCCAGTCTTTTTATGTCACACAGACCTAGAGGGAGCTTTCCATTATTTATACGGAGAACTATGCTAAGTCCATTTAGTCATGACATGTCCTTAATCCCAGCATCACACACCCTAGATCCAGCCACTTCCGAAAAGCCCCCTACAAGCATATGAGCTTGGGGAGGTCATCCAGACACAAACTATAACACATGGTTACTTCCTTCAAAAAAAGGAGTTAACACCTTTCTTTTTATTTTACCTATTACTTGATACCATATTATATATGAGCTTTTCTCCACTAGAGGGGAACTATGTAAACTCCATGAAAGATAAGAAATTGTGTTATCTAATGGCTTACCATGGCACCCAGACAGCCCAGCGTAACTTGTGTTTAGTAAATATTTGCTGAATGAACTGTTAGGGATTTCACTGATAGGGAAACAGGCACTTGAAACTGGTGCGGTGGTGTGCTCCTATAATCCCAAGAATTTAGGAGGCTCCTATAATCCCAAGAACTAGGAACTGAAGACCAGGCTGGGCAAAGTACTAAGACCCATCACAAAACAAGAAAGTAAATATAGCTAGCAAGTAAGCCAGAAATACCAAGAAAAGAAGGGAGAAGGAAGGGAAGAACAGATGCCTGCACAAACGTACACACAGGTGATTGCTCGCCAGTGGTGAAGAAAGATATTTGGCTTGATACCTGCTGCACTACACAAAACTGAATGCTTGTTAACTGAATAAACTCATTATCATATGATCCTTTCCAGAACAACGCAAATCAGCAAAATTACAGGGGTTAATAGTTTTAATACCACCCAGAATAAATTAGGTAATTGGGATGTGGAGTATGCTAAAGATCAAATCACTACTAGTGGAAAAAAAAAAAAGTATTTTCTGTCCTAATTCTAGGTCAGGTATCAATGAATTAGATTCTAAGTCTAATAATTAGTATTTCAAATACTTTCTCATGTCCTACTCCTGGAATGGATCCCCAGCACCAAGGAAAAAAATATGTATGTGTATGTACACACACACACACACACACACACACACACACGCATGTGTCCCAGCTAGCCAAGTGTTCTAATATGCAAGTAGGTGTGAGCACTATACTCTGACCCATTTTAACTCCTGCCCCCCTACAGCATAGTAAAGGGTATTAACTGGCAAGTGTGGCACCAAACATGTCTCAGCAGGGTGCTATGATAAGTTTGAGGAAATAACCATACTTTACTTGTATTTCCACACTTCATCAACAGAGACAATTTAGGAAAGTAATATCCCTTCATTAATAACATGAATCTGGGACCAGAGAGATAGCTCAGATGCATAAGCACCTACCTGGCAAGCACAAGGACCCAAGTTCAATCCCCACCCCACATGCCATGCAGTCTCAGCCATGGATGGCTGGGTGCCCACCATGCAGCCCCAGAACTGGGCGTGGTGATGCCTGCCTGTAATCCCACCACTCCGGAGGTTGAGCCAGGAGGATCTCTGAGTTCTAGATCAGCTTGGGAGCTGCAAAAGTGAGCACAAGGCCAGCCCAAACTGCATAGTGAGACTCTATCTCAATAAATAAACAAACATGAATCTGAGCACTAAGGTGAACAGAAAGACATGTTTTTACATTGTCCTTGTGAAGACTCATTTGGAAGAAGCTCAAGCCTCTTCAATTTAATGTTCTCCCTAGGATGAAAATACAGATTTATTGGTAGTTCTTTTTTGACAGTGTTAACTCACCAGAGAGTTATCTGCAATCTGATGAAGGAATTACTCTAGTTTATACATTCATCAGAAGAAAAATCCTAGTTTCTGAGGAAGTGGTAGTACTTTGGATGGGAATATTTTCAACTGCTTGTGTCTTAGGGACTTCTCAAATAATCTTAAATCTAGAGCAAAGAGAGTATTACTTTTCTGGTTGCTGGAACAAATACTGGACACACCCACAAGTCAGAGAAGGAAAGGTTATTTCCACGCATAGTTTGAGAACAGTTCATGGCAAAGCACAAAGGAGGCCACAGGCAGCAAGCAGGCCCTCTTTCTGTCCAGGTGACAAGCCTTTTGGGTGGTGCCATCCAAACCCAGGTGGGACCTCCAATTATCCACACCTAGAACTGTTAAACCAATCCCTGGATTAATTTAGTGATCACACATCCTTAATTCAAGTTCACATACCCTCGCCCCAGAGACATCTAGATACGTAAGACAGCTAAACCCACAGTCTGCATTACTAAGCAGCGACAGGAGTGCCACATACTCTTCACTCCTCATCCAACTGCCTACGTCTTTACCACACAGAGATACAATTTCCAAACCCCTGCCCTAGTGGAACTACATACAGCTCAGGTTTGGACTCCATACTTCACACCTTTCACACTGTCAAACACAAAGGAAATCTTGGATATCTTTAAATCTGTCAGGGCTGGAGAGATGGCTCAGTGGTCTAAAGCACCTACTTGGAACAAGCTTGGCAAAGCACAGGGACCGCGGTTCGATCCCCAGCACCACATGCCAGCCAGCCCCGCCCCCTGGTGGGCTGAGCTGCCCCCCCCCACAAAATGAAAAAATAAATAAATAAAATTAAAAAAAAAATAAATTTAGAAAAAAAAAATCTGTCACTCACACTAACTGGGAAACCACTAGTCTGAAATGAGATGGGACTATATACAAAAGACTTTATCCCCTCAGAAAATCATGTTAAATCTTCTGTGTCTTAATTTCTCATATTGCTTGGACAGGTTATCCTGTGTATATCTTACGCTCTGAATAACTACTATGAAGACAACAATATGCAATGTATTAGTTAAGTGTTCTACTAACCTGTTTTGAAATTTTCCTTCTTTAATAAAAAAAACCCTCAGAAATGTTACAAAATTTCTCAAGTCTCCTGAATTTTTTGTGTGAACAACTCTTTAATAATTCCTTCAAATATTTGACAATATCTGCTTTAAAAACAGTACACATACTCTTCAGTTAAATGTAAAAATGTTAACTAATAAAACAAGTACCACAAAAAACTTATGGTCTAGATCTGCCTTCAGGTGTAACTGCCCAGCTAAGACTGAGGAAAGCAGTTTCCCCACAAGCCTAATAGAGGCCGAGTCACCGCTGCCTAGCAGACTAAGGATGAATGAAGAGGTGCTTTAGTGTAAGAGACACACTGGTTCAGTCATGTGCAAATCACTCAGCAAACCAAGATTAGAACCTAAACCAGTCAATCAATTTTTGTCCCCCCACCCGCCTGGCGCCACCTCGGGTCGGCTTAATCTAAGGTGCCGTTCCGAGTGGGAGGCAGCGGTGTGCGGGCTGAGCTGGCTGGCCGGGGACTGCCTGGGCCACCGAGCTGCTGAGAGCTGAGGGCCATCCAGACGCAGCAGGGCTGAGCACACACGAACACCGCGGGCCGGGACAGGACGGACCACGGCATTGAAGCGGATTAATAAGGAACTTAGTGACTTGGCCCGGGACCCTCCAGCACAATGTTCTGCAGGCCCAGTTGGGGGTGATATGTTCCACTGGCGAGCCACAGTTATGGGACCTAATGTCAGCCCATACCATGGCAGTGTATTCTTGACAATTCATTTTCCTACCGACTACCCCTTCAAACCACCTAAGGTTGCTTTACAAGAATTCATCATCCAAATGTTAAGGGTAATGGCAGCATTTGTCTCGATATTCTAAGATCACAGTGGTCTCCTGCTTTCACTATTTCTAAAGTTCTTTTATCCCATTTGTTCACTGCTATGTGATCCAAACCCAGACGACCCCCTAGTGCCAGAGACTGCACGGATCTATAAAACAGACAGAGACAAGTACAACAGAATATCTCGAGAATGGACTCAGAAGTACGCCATGTGGTGCTACCTTAAAATCAGAATCACCTGCATTATAGCTGGGATAAACTTTAAATTGCTGTTTCTTTTTTGATTTTCTTGTTGGTTTTTTTTTGGAACCGGGGATTGAACTCAGGCTCTTGCGCTTGCCAGGAAAGCGCTATTACTGAGCTATCTCCCTGGCCTTTTCTGATTTTCTTATCCGGCTGCTCCCCTATCAGACCTCATCTTTTTTTAATTTTATTTTTTGTTTACCTCCCTCAATTCATTCACATGCTCATCTAAGAAGACTTAAGTTCTTCCAGCTTTGGACAATAACTGCTTTTAGAAACTGTAAAGTAGTTACAACAGAACAGTTGCCCAAGATTCGGAATTTTTTTAAAAAAATGAAGCATGTGTATTATGTGGCCAATGTCTTCACTCTAACTTGGCTATGAGACTAAACCATTCCTCACAGCTCTAACTGCTGAAGAAGCCACCAGAGGGGGAGACGGATGCTCGGTGATCTCGGCAAGGAAGCAGCATTATTCTGGCAGCATCCATGCTTGTTAAGCCTTCCACTGTTAGAGATTTAAGGTTATACGTGATATACTTTATGCTCATGACTGGAGAATTGGTATTGAATTTATAGCATCAGCAGAACAGAAAATGTGATGTATTTTTTTTTCTTTTCAAAGTTTTATTGATAAACATATAGCAATGAGACAGTTTCAAATCAAATCGAGAGTACAGTTTCAACAAATAATACACTGCATATATTCTTCTTAGTGGTTAATTGCCGTACAAGATGCAGACTTGTGCTCCTACTTACAAACACCATTAGAAAAAATCATTCTATTCATTAAGAGAATGCAACTATATATCTATCCCAACCACTTTCAATACACAGATACAAAATGGACATTCATAGTTATATCCCATTTTTTTTAAGTTCCGTTATTGAATATTATAGGTGTGTAAACTCAGCAAAATATTCTAAAAGAGTCCAGTAGCCCATAATAGCATTGGGTCTTCTGTTTAACTGGCAATGTCAGAAATTATTGACCTGAGTCCCCCACAGCTCAACATAACAACATGGCTTTACTTCCTGTATTTCGTCTTCATACTTTTCTACTGGATGGTTAAGACCAAGGTAAAGCAGGACCTGTGCAACAAGAGTTGTAGCTTTTTGGTCTGAGGTCAGTGAAATGCCCTCAGGATTTATCCTGAGATCCTGTACCTCAGATTGTAGAACCTTTGTCAGTGTCAGCCATGTGGATGAGTCACGGCCAATGCTTGGCCAATGTGCTCTCTGTGAAAGCCTGAGAGAGTGTCTTCTCCCCATGTGACTCTCCTTAGGCACACTCTACGTCATTGATCACTTTCCTCTTTGGCCCAATAATCTTCTTGATCAGAAAATTTGGGACACTACCGAGGTACATGACATTACAGTACAAGTTCTCATATGTCCTGAGTCTTAATTGACCTTAGAAGGCTAGGGCCAAAATGTTGGCTTTCCTCGTAGCCCTTTTTCTCTAATTTTGGTCTGCAAACTTAGATTGTTAACCATCCAGAAGACAAGCTTATTGTTATTATCAAACGATTTAGGCTATCAAGCTTAACCTCACTATCTCACTGCATTTCAAACAATGTGATGTATTTTATACACGTCAATAAAGGAATGACCTGTTCTTGTTCTACAGAGAATGGAAATTGTAACTCAAACACCCTTTGTATTCCAAAGTAGGGTCTCAAAACATTTTGTAATTTTCATTTAAGCTGTTAGGAGCCTTGGAGCTATTAGGTAGTCTATCTTCCAATACACTGTTTAATATAGCACTGAGCAAACGATGCAAGCTGTCAATGGATGAGCGATCAACTAATAGCTCTGCTAGTAATTGATTTTTCAATAAAGTTGCATAAACCAATGAGTTAGCTGCCTGGATTAATCAGTATGGGAAACAATTTTGTAAATGTAAAGCTTTTTTTTTGTATGTACTGTTGGGATTTGCTTCATTGTTTGATATCAAATAATGATGTAAAATTCAAGAGTGACTATTTGCCATGTTCAGTTAAGAGTGCAAGTCTGTTACAGGTTTACCTGTCACTTTCTGACTTATGCAGAATAAGCTTCTTCAGATAGTGTAGCTTCAGTGCGCTGCATATTATATACTGGCAGCCCTGGAGGTCAGAGATGGACTTGGGGCCCAGCAGCTTTGAAATGTGTGTATGGAGTTGAAGTTTATTTTCCAGGTGCATTCCCCCATCTAAAATGTCTTCACATTGTACACTTGAAAACTTAAGAAAACCGTTAACATGAGAGTAATAGTGGGTCAAAATTTACACAATAAAGTATGCTGTTTTGGTGTGGGAGTTGTCATGAGGCTGTGTTGAAGTGACTTTACTGTGTGGGATGTTTGAGTACCCATTGAAATTTATTTGTTCAGCCATTTACTTTAATGAGCATTTCAATGCAGCAGGTACTATTGCAGATAACGTCTCATGAATGAATAAAAGTTAAATGCTATTGGGGAAAAAAAAGCAATTTTTGTTTAACTATGAAAAGTAATTTGTGGGCTGGTGAGATGGCTCAGTGGTCTAAAGCACCTACTTAGAACAAGCTAAGCTAAACAAAAGCACAGGGACCGCAGTTCAATCCCCAGCACCACATGCCAGCTAGCCCCGCCCCCTGGTGGGCTGAGCTGGCCACACACACACACACACACACACACACACACACACACACAAAATAAATAAATAAATTTAAAAAAAAAGTAATTTGTGTTGGATATAATGTTTTTAATAGTTTTAAGTAGCTTGTCTAGGTTTTAGTTGCTTAGGTTCAGTTTGTATTCAAAGGAATTTTCAATTTAACATTGTGAAGAGTGTCAGATGTAAAAATACACTAGTACAAATTTGTTTTTATTCATAAGAACATATATTAAAAATTATTCCATGACATGTGAGTGGGAAAAGGATGGATTACCTAGTAACAGTAGCAGCCAGAAAGTTATTAAGCACTTGGTGTATGCTAGCATTAAGCTAAATCTTGTTGTTGCCTCCTTTTGTTTTTGCTTTTTGAGAGACAGGATCTCCCTTAGGTAGTACAGGCGGGGCTTGAACTCTCCTTTATCTTCCTGCTTCAGCCTCCTAAGTGCTGGGATTACAGGTGTGTGCCACCACACCCAGCCTAAGCATAATTCTTCACATTCACTATTTTACTTAATTCTCACCACCTCATGAAGCAAATTCTACCAGTCTCAGGCCCAAAATGCCAACTTGGGACAAGAACCGAGGTGGTCTGCTATCATGAGCCCATATTATATAGACCTTATTAACCATATGAAAGAAAAACCAAGGTCATGCATCAAATTGACATATGTGTTTATTGCACAAATTTTCCCTAGAACTGGGAGGTTATTATAATACAGGTATACATTTGAGAAATATATTCAGAACAAAGAACAAATCTGTACATTTTATATATCCACCATCTAAATAACTTAGAGAAAGCAAATATTCTTATAAGACATCTACCAGAAATAGGCATTATGTAAAATCTGATTTTTTAAAAATAATCCTCAGTGTATGCCAACTGCAACAAAATGAAATCTGTGCTAGTAGATTTATTGCACTTAATATTTTCAAACTTAATAAAATTAAGACATTAATAAATGCCAGGAAAAAAAAAGTAGTACATATGCATGGAGAAATTAGTTTTAATTCTATAATACAAAAGATCCCTTTTATTTCCTGTTGCAACAGGTGTTTTGATATGTAATAGATACTTGTACCATAAGAATTTGAAAAACTTATTTTGAACAGACCAAACTCTTCATATTCATCACAATGACCACACTTGAATGGAGTAGTAGCAGCTCATTCCTGGGTTTTATGTAAGAAAAGAGTGATTATGATGAAGGTACTAGAAATTATAGAAAGGATAAGAATTACAAAACTCAGGAATCCTATAAGGATTAATGACTCTTTAAGAAACTACAGGTCTTATTCATCTTAGCAAAGATTAGTTTTAAGAATAACAGCATGAGCCATTCACTTACTGAAGACTAGAATTATTGAAGTTATTTATTCGAACATTTCAAATAGGAATGAGAATAGTCTGATGATTAAGAAAACACCCAACACAACTGTTATCTACCTGTTACATATTATTCTGAGCCACAATAAAAAATAAATGTACAATGGCCCATACAGGAACTTTTCTACATTTTTGAATTCTGCCAAAGAGATCAATTTGTTGGATTCCAAAAAAAAAGACTACAGCAGAATTTTGTTCATTAATGGAATAAGAAAATTAAATTAAGAAAATCTGTGCATAAACACTCCTTGGCAGCAAGTCATCCATGGGAGACTCAGGTACTGAGTGCGACCAGCTAACAGGACACGAGCCAAGGAAACGCCAAGTACGCTCACTGCAGATTTACAGTCCACGGAAATCACCTCTCTTCTCTCTTTCAAAATCTCCCAAATAAACATAAACAGCAAAGTGAAATTTGACCCAAAGCTCTAAATTCAAAGACTAAACGAATGACAGAAATCATCCATCACTTAATGAAAAATTAAATAACAACGGATGAGTTGTTCAGTAAATATTTATAGTGACTAAGTGGCTTTTTTTAAGCTAATCAAATACAATGAAAATAGTAATAAATGAAAGCAGGAATCAATTTTATTTCGAGCATTAAATGTATCTTAGACCAGATAAGCAAAGCAAAAATATATTATAATGCAGTATTTCAAGTAAACTGAGGTAGTAGAGCATATTGAAAACTTTATCTATCCATCTTTTTATTTACATTACTTACAGGAGTTTGGTTCCTTATTAGCCTTTCTTACAAGCAAAATTCTACACTATATACATCGACAGTAACAACTGGTAAGTCTTTTAAAAGCAATCAGCTTTTGGAAGGGAAGAGCTCTTAGAGAAAAGAACAATTTAAGAGTTTTATGAGTTCTGTTGGTGCAAACTGATTATTATTAAGCACTGAAACAAATGTCTTGCTCCTGTGGGTTCTAGAAGGGCTGATATGGAAAAGAAGGGCCTTGGTTACCTGAGCACTTTTAAAGAAAATATTATTTTTTGCCAATGCTTTGGTGCAATTTTTAAACCCTAATTTTCATTTATTAAATTCATTTACTGAATATGCAAATATTAATATTTATAAGAATTAGTTCATACTTATAAAACAAACAGTATAAAGTAGTATTCTTATTTTTTGGAATCTATATTCCTCAGCCTTAAAAGAAGATTGGCTTTATGTGTATTTTAGTATGTGTGAAACAGAAAAATCACTAAAAAGTAGTTCAACATTATGTACAATTAATACTAGTTGAAAATGCTTTTTTAAAAAGGCGTGTTTCCCAGTCTTATATTTCTACTTCTGCTTTTAAAAAAATAGATACATATGTACACTTGGGTGGATAATATAACACACATTGTCACTCATTCTCAGTTTGTTATTAATTGACTGCTCAAATACTTTTGAGCAATAACTAGAAATTAGCAGTTTTGAATTGCAAACAAAATAATGAATAATCAAAATTGTACAGATAGCTGTAACTCAATAAAGAATTAAAAACTTGATGAAATGACTATTTCTGAGCCACTCAATTGTGAGCCATCTCTTGGTATTTACGAGTTGTGACAGTATATGAAATGCCTTGCTAGTATTCATTTTGTATAAATTTCTATAGAATTATATACTTTGGCTTTTTCAAATGCCCTCACCACAGGTTGTTCATGCTGCTTTAGTTTCATGTGGTTAAAAATCTACCACCATCCAGGAGTCCAGTTTAAAAGAAAAATCATCCATTATACAGAGAATATGCAATGCAATACAAGACACCCAGGAGGTGGACTCATTCAGATGGAAGTCGAATGGGAAAAAAATCTCCATAACTACATATTTCGCCGTCTTCCTTCATTTCTGTTTAACTTGCCACCAATGTTAACCTTTAGACGCATTAAAGAAGTATCTGGGCAACATATGGAGAGTGAGTGCTTGCTACAGCAGCCAGAAGAGGAAGATCACTGGATTCAATCCTGGAACAAAGAAAAGTCAGTTAGTTTAGCTTTCTATATACTCACAAGATCAATCCTACAGGCAATGACCACTATCTATAATGTCACTATCACCAGTAGTTAAGTTGGCCAAAAGGTTAACTGAAGATAACAAAGGTCAGGAACTTTTCAGTAAGTAGAACCTAAAACCACAGATTTAAAGGAAAGGAATATCTCCTTTAATCTCAAGGGTAACAAAAATCATGAATACAGAAAAGTATCTCATTTACCTGTTGGTGGAACATATATTAGGCAAGGCAAAATGTATTAAGAAATTACAGCAGTACCTTAGTACTCATTGTTAAATGGCTCTAGGAGGTGGGTCAATTAACAAATAAATTTGTTTTTGGTGGAAAAGGTAGTAATAAACACTGGTAAATTCAAGTTTGCACATCAAATAGCCAACGAAGTATAAGTACCAGGACAAAATGTTTGCATCAAAATGTGTCAAGTACAAAATTCAACGAATTTTAAAGCAGTTGAGTACTAAGGTATGATTGTATCCTAGTATAATAATAATAATAATAATAATAATAATAGTGTATATGCAGATTACATTAGCTAAAAATGTTTCTACAGTGAGATATTTTGCCACAATTTATGGAAAAAGAAAAATGGCCAATGAACACAGCACAAGTTCCTTAGATAAAATCAATTTTCTCTTCATTCTAGCATTGTTTTTAGTAGTAAAGAAATGGAAACTACAAAATACATAACGGGCCAGGCATGGTGGCCCAGTTACTTAGGAGGCTGAGCAAGGAGATGAGAAGTTTAAGGCAAGCCTAGGCAACCTAGCAAAATTTGTCTCAAAATAAAAATTTAAAAAAGGGAAAAAAAAGTCTTGGGACATGGCTCAGTAGAGCACTTACCAAGTGCAAGACCATGGGCTTAATGCCTTGCCTGAAAAAAAAAAAAAAAAAAAAAAAAGAGCTGAGTTACATAAAAATTCTATTTTAATTCTTCCAATAAGTATTTTAAGACATGATTCACACATGCAGAAAACAGAGAACAGGAAAAGTAATCACAACAGGGGCCGGGGAGATAGCTCAGTAGAATAAGCGCTTGCCTGGCCAGCGCAAGGGCCTGGGTTCAATCCCCAGTCCTGCCAAAAAAAAAAAAAAAAAAGAGAGAGAAAAGTGATCACAGGTCATATGAAATAGGGCTATACTTTGCCCTCCCCTCAACTTCCTGTTCCACTTCTGGTCAGCATTTTGAATAAACACTTTTTTTCTCAAAATTAATAGCAGAAGCTGGTTGTGATAGTGCACTATGTGTAATCCTAGCACTCAGGAAGCTGAGGCAGGAGGACTGCTTCAAGTTTGAGGTCTGCCTGGACTACACAATGAGACCCTGTCTCAAAAAATAAAAAACAGATGATAATAAATGCGTAACAAATGCTGAGTAAGTAAGATGTGGATAAAGTACTGCCATGCACAAAGTGCTGTTACTTTAGTCAGCTCATCTGAAAGGCAGGATAGATATTTGGCATAATGACTTTACAACATACTTAATAAACAAAGAATATTTTCTTACTTTTTCTAATATAAAAAAATGTATTTTTAATTCATCCAGGCTTTTTTTTTTTGCTCAGAATGCCTTCAGGGCAGGTTTGACTGGCTTGAGTTGTGGGGATCGAACCACAGTAACCTTAGGCTGACAGCTTTGTGGAAGTAGCCACTTAAAGAACGGAGCTAGGGCCAGGCCCCCCAGACTAACTTTTAACATTCTATATATAACGGATGCCTTTCATACCAGTGAATAACAGGAAATGTGCTTTTTGTATGGTACAGTGTAACCAAAATCATGAATACCTAGCTTCTATTGGGAAAGACACTTAAAAGGGACAAAGGGCAAGTCTAAGGAACACACTTTGCCTAGCCATAGAAAAATGGGAAAAGCAAAGCCAGAAAATAAATCATGAACATACCCAAGAACCACTCCCAGCTCCTTCACATGAACACGCATCTGCCCCCTCAGATACTCAGACAGCATTTTGCTCTTGAAGTACAGTTCCTGTAACCGGTCTTCAAGGTGCATTACACACTGCAGTTAGGAAAGAACCAAGAACAAAAATTGGGTTTCAACTTTTATAGTAGTGCCAAATTTTAAAGCATTGTGTTCCTGACACTCTCACTCCCCCTATATGTATGTATTTGGTAAAGGGTCTACAGGGTCTCACTATGTAGATCGGACTCGTAGCGATCCTCCTGTTTTCAGTCTCCCAAGCATGGGATTACAGGCATGCACCACCACACCCAGTCTCAACTGCCATCTCAGTGTGCCCTGGGGGCAGGGCTGGCCCAGCACGCTGAGGATCAAACCCAGGCTGCTGCACTCTGCCTAAACAGGCGCTTTAGTCTGCTGAGCTATCTGGCTATCCCCGTGTGTGTGTGTGCGTGCGTATGATACACTTTATATTAAATATATATATTTATTTATTATTTTATGGAAGGATCTACAGGGTGTTCAGGGTCTCACTGCTAGATCGGACTCATAGTGATCCACCTTTTTAAAGCTTCCCAAGAGCTGGGATTACAGGCGCGCCACCACACCCACTCTGTCCTGACAATATAGTTATTACAATATGAACTAAAATTTGGAACACATTAAATGTTATCTAGATAAAATAGTGTAAATTTGTTTCTGGTTCATATGAAGGATTAGCTTCAATGATTTTATTAAACTATAGTAAAATACATATTAAAAATTTATCATTTTAACCTTTACTTTTTTAAGAGCAGAATATTTATTGGGGGAAAGAAAGCTTCTGTCTGAGGGACAGAAGGGGAACCCAACTGGGGTGCCCAACTTTATTCTTTTTTTTAAGAGTACAGGGCTTTTGCAGTTTTTTTCCCAGCCTCTTTTTTATTTTTATTTTGGTACTAGGGATCAAACTCAGGACCTTGGGCTTCTCAGGAAAGCACTTATGACACTGAGCTATCTCCCCAGGCCTTAATTTTTTTTTTTTTTTAAATTTTAGGACAATGTATTGCCAATGTCTTTAAGTTAGGCTCAAATTGTTTTTTTTTTTTT